CGTATTTTCAAAAGGCGTGTAAATATGAGCAAACCCGTCCTTAAGACTTCGGGCTATTTTAAGGAAGACTCTGATAAGAAAAAAAAGGTTAATCAAATAGTATAGTTTTAAGCAAGCTATTATGGTATTTCATAATGCTCTTAATTGACTGAACTGATTTTAACCTTAGGAAAATTATTTATTGAAATTTATTTAGGCTGAATGGATTAATTGTATACTTATTATATCACCTTGCTATTCTATACCATCTCTTACTGTTGTAAGAGATGAGAGCGAATATGACTCTGCTGATTATCCCGATACTTCTCTAAAATTTATGCTTAATCAATATAAACGCGTAGAAAAATGTCTTGAATTAAAGCGTTGGAGTAATTTTAACATATTCTCGGATTCTTCTTCTAATTTTTCTCCACGATCGCCATTATACCAATTAAAAATTTCTTCTGGCATGATGAAGAGAAAGAAAACCTTGAGACTTGGATTTAATTGTGATATGGATAGGAATATTTGGTATAGAGAATTGCGGAAATATATTGAAGGGAAATGGACAGAAAAAATATTTTTGCCCTATACATCTACTTTTGATGCACTGAAGGAAAACCTGCCAGGAAGTCGGATTGATATTTCAGACAAGAGCCACGAAGCAGAATTTTTATTCCAGAATGAAATTTATGAGTCATCCTTATCAAATGGTAAATTTTCAAAGTGATAATATAATTTTTTAATATAAATGCTTGTTTTTTGTAATATAGCTTTATTTTTAGATGAATATAGAGTTTGTGTTGAACAGACACCAAAGTCAACTGAATTGAAGATATCTGGCACATACGTTTTGAGATTGAGGAATGCGGAGTTACAATTACTCGACTCTATCCTTATGACTAAGCTGTATGTATGGCCATGTAGATACATAAGAAGGTAAGCTATTTAATAATTTATTCTATTTTAATCATTACGAGGAGAGCATTTTCATGATAGTAAAAATGTATCACGATCTCTCTGAATATGAGCTTTTAATGGATAGTTTATTATCTAGACTTAAAGGTATAAAGAAATGATAATTTAATTTTAAGGTAACAAAACACTCTGGTGGTATATATAATATATTTAAATTTTAATTACATTAAAGAGACAGGCATTCAAATAATCTTGTCGAGATATTTCAACAATCATTGAAATTTAAATTTTAAAAATGAAATAGTGAATTTAATTCGGTATAAAAGCAACATGAATTATGCCTTAATATTTGCTTCATATTCCAGAAAAGGTTCAAGTATGACAGCATTTTGGAGTTATGCCGACGCGCACAATGTTCTGTGTCATCGTGGCTCTCCAAACTAAATATGTCTACTTTTACTAGCAACCAATTCTCCTTATCTGATCCAGTAATAACGCTAAGTTGAATCTTTTTACCTCCTTATAGCTGCAATCTTTTATTCACTTTGTTGCTCCTTGGCAAGCTTTTGAGCCTTTTCCATTTTGTACCTCGAATCGATTTGGCTTGTCAGATGTATTGATTGTGTTGGTAAGTAGTATTATTCATAACCGGTATTTGATGTCGTTTGCTACCATTTGAGTATTTCTTGTAAAGTGTAACCTTACTTTTTGTTTTGGAGGAAAGGTTGGTTAGAAGGAATTCATAAAATGGGCTCATCCAAAACCTAAGAAAGAGTGCCGCGGATTGAAGACTTTTGGATTGTAAGAAAATATATTTGGCTCACCGAGTCACTCTATTATTTATTTGGCTATCTCATGCCTAGCATACATTCTTATAGATGGGGGAGGTTGATGCATAAAAATAAAAAGGAAAACTGTTTCCTTGCCTAAATAATCAAACGTATGATCATGCAGATTCTTTACGCATGTGGTATTGTGTATTGCGTATTGCGTATTTATTCCAAGTCATGTGAAGTATGAGAGCCTTAGTCAAACTCGAAGCTAGTCAAGCCTCTTCCTCTTACTCATCGGAATATCATAATAATGTATACTTAGAAACGGACATTATCCTTAGTTATGACTTATTTTCGAGGATGTTCGGGTCGTTCTTTTTCAGATCACGGCTATATACAAGATTTTTTGTCCATGTGAGGGAGACCTTCAAAGCCATACACAAGAGGTTATCTGGACATGAAGCCGCATGTGAAGGTCTGTGATTCCGAAAATCCTGAGGATAAGATTGGGGAGTATATAGAAATAAAAAAAACTGTCAACATCAAAAATAGGAGGTCTGAATGTAGAAACTTAAGAATGAACTATTTGTGGCTGATGGATGGACCTAAGGAGAGACAGGAAGAGGAAGAAGAGAAAGAGGAAGAGGCTTGATGAGATTTGAGCCTGATTAGGGATGAACCTTTTCACATTACTATGACTTGAATAAACATAATACACAATACCAGAAACGCAAGGAAGTCTCAGGATCATACTTTTGCTTATTTAGGCGAGGAAACGGCATGTCGCTTTCTTTTCATGCATCGAACTCGCCTATACACTACAATGTATGTTAGGCATGAGATAGCCAGCCAAATCAAAAGTACAAAAAAGTGAGTGATTGTTTGGGGCCACGCTTTTTTTGTTAGCTTATTGTATTTGGTGCATATTTTCGTAAAATATGGTATTTCACTCTTATGATGTCTATCAAATGACAGACAAGAGCCTAGCACAGGTTTTCGAGGTCGCTGGACGGTGAGCCGACTACTTTTTTTTACAATCCAATAGTCTTTAATCCATGGAAATCCTCCTTCTGTTTCCAGTGTGCCAATTTCACAAATTCATTCCAATCAACTTTTCCTCCGAATTGAAAAGTTGTGCCGAAATAAATCTCTAAGGAATTCTTCGAAACCCAATTTTTTATTATATCTTCCCTTTACTGTATGCTGGACACGGTCTACAGGCCTCGGTTACATCCATACGTTGAGTAAATTGACTAAGTACCGATTATTCTTGACACAGCTGATCACACATATTTCAAGCTGGCGACCATAATTAAGTGTTTTTAAATCTAGTTGTAGCTTCTTATAAAAAATATTTTCTTTTTTCCATAGTCAAGAATTTCTGTCTATTTATTAGAAATATGCCTTTATAGCCTCTAGATTCTAAACAATTTGAATGTCCGGAGAAATTCTTTAACAGAGTAAAGAACGCATAAAACGGTTCTCAGAAGCTTATTTTTCGTTTATAAGCCGGGTTTCTAGACTCATATAATCTAAAAAACTATTTGAGTTGCAAAACATTTTCAAGAGAGAACTTGTTTTTAGTGAAGTTAGATGGATTAGATTGATGCGATTCAGAGAGTTAAGCAAAATGAATCTGTCCAGAATAGAGTTGAATATATTAATATAAATTTGCTGTTTGAACTATAGATAAAATCAGTTCAAGCGTTAAATCTTTAGTGCTATCAGAATGGGAGGTTTACCTGTCGAAGATGGAGTGAAGAGAGCCT